AACCTAAATGAGAAAACAAATATAATATTCAACAGTAGAACAGTGTGTTTGGAAATCATTTGCTTGGCATTCTATAAAGTCTATAGATTTGTGTGTCACCCTGCCAAAGGAAGGTGTGGGGCTGAGCATGCAGCATGGTGGTAGGAAGAATCTATGCCTGCAAGTGCAAGCACACGCACACAAGGATACACATACAGAGACAGCCAGACATGACACATATAGACACACACAGATTCAGACGCAGTGACACAGAGAGATGCAGACATACCTGCATAGGCACACAATTAAAAAAAAAAAAAACTTGGTGAGGTGGAATGGGGTGTAGGGACATCCATTTGGAAATGGGAGATGGGAGAGGGGAGGTATGGGATGGGGAACAGAGGGCAAACCAGAAGGGGTATAAAGTCTGGACTGTAAAAAATAAAGATTAAAGAATGAAAAAAAAATTCAACACACACACTCATGCATGCATGCATGCAAAAAAAAGGAAAAAGAAAAATCACATTAAATAACATAATTTAGCAACTATTCTAGAAGCAGCAGATTTTGTTTTATGACAAGGTCCTCACTATACATCGTCCCCAGTTGATTTTTGCACTGCTTGTTCCAACCCACATATTTCATCCTAGCACTCAGGAGTCTGTACAAAGAGGATTTTTGAGTTTGAGGCTTGAGCTCAAAAGCAGAGAAGGATGGGGATGACAACAGACAGACAGACAGACAGACAGACAGACAGACAGACAGAGGAATATTAATGAATGATTTACCCCTGCGCTGGGATTACAGGTATGTGCCACTACACAGCTAGCTACCCAGTTCCCTTTTAAAAGAACATTTAATGTGCCCAGTGGGCATGGTGGCGCATGAATTTAATCTGGGAGGCATAGGCAGGGAACTCTGGGAGTTCATAGTGAGTTTCAGGCCAGTCAGGATTTCACAGTAAGATCCTGTGTATATGCATATGTTGCAGGGGGCAGTTTGGGGAGGTAGAATGAGCACACTAGCTTAATGTCCATCTGCACTAACAATTCTTTTTGTTTGTTTGTTTGTTTGTTTGTTTGTTTTTTGAGACAGGGTTTCTCTGTGTAGTCCTGGCTGTCCTGGAACTCACTCTGCAGACCAGGCTGGCCTCGAACTCAGAAATCCTGATGCCTCTGCCTCCCAAGTGCTGGGATCAAAAGCATGCGCCACCACTGCCCGGCCTGACTGTACTGATTATAAATTACAATTCTATTATTCCCAGAGAAAGGGGAACAAAAATAAAACTTAAGTATTCCAATTCAGTCTAGAAGAGAGAACTAGGTGTGACTGTACACACCCAATACTGTATCTCTAGGTAGTGCAGGATAGAGAATCAGCAATTGATATTCATCTTCAGAAACAACTTCCCAGCCTGGATAATACCAGATACTACCTCAAAAGAACAAAATAAACACAAACAGCAAGGACAAAACCGAAATTTGCAATGGGTGGAGCTGGAGAAGGTCACATCCAGTGAGACAGCCAAGCCCAGAGAGATAAAAGTGTCACAAGTTCTCTGTCAACCTAGGCTCCCACTCCAAATCTGCAGATGTGTTCTATACTAGCACACATCCTGGAGCCAGTATAGAAACCAGGGAAGTAAGCAGAAGCATTGCTAGGGTGGAGGGGGATGCAGTAGAGCAGGGAATAAAAGGGTCCATGTGTTCTAATCGGGGAAACGAGAAAGAGGGACTCTAACTAGGGAGGAGAAGCAAATAGATACGGAAGGAGAAAGGAGGGTAAAATACCCATAAGGATGGCTTGGAGAGTCTTAAAGACTTACACTAGTAACTATCTGTTGTGGGTAAAGCTGCTATAAATGGGGCTGAAGAGATGGCTCAATGGTTAGGAACACTTGCTGCTCTTGCAGAGGACCTAGGACTCCCAGCACCTACATGGTGTCTGACAACAGTCTACAACTCAAGTTATAGGGAACCTAACACCCTCTCTGCCCTCTGTGGGCACCAGGCATGCTCATGGTACACATAGGTACATGCAGACAAAACGCTCTTACATAAAAAGCTGCTATGAACATATGTGTGCAGGTTTATGCGGATACAAAAATCTTTAGTTCACTTCAGTAAATATTCAGTAAAGATAAATATCAAGTCGTTGAGTTTAAGTCTAAACCCTCACTAAGATTTAGGGAGAGTGTATTCTTTGGTCAATAATTACAAATGCCTTAAATACAAATTAGAACATTCACTATAGGATCAGAAATTCTACAAGAAAACTATTATTGGCCCTGATCTCAACATTAAAATCTAAGATGATACACAACCTCATATCGAGAAACAAAGATCTGGAAGGTTAATACCTGAAATGATGAGCAAGCCCTTCTAGGGCGGGCCTTCGTTGGCACTCTGATTTTATTTTAGAATACAAAGTGTTTTCACCAAGACTCTCATCTCTGCTTAAAATACCCCATGAGATCAATACAGGCAAATGATACTCTGCTGAGAGAGGAAACTGAAATCCAAGGACAGTGAAAATGACTTTCTCAGTGGGGGTGGGGCTCTATTTCAGTCTGCCCCACTTGTTCTAAAGCACTTGTTGCCTGTGGACATGTAGTAATGCAAGACGGCTGTCCAGCTAATTGTCAATTGGGGCTCTCCAGCTAATTGTGAATTCGGAGACAGGCAAATTTCTCAGCTGAATCCTATGACAGTGCTCATAGGCTCTAACACCTGAGGAATACAGGCTACACATCCTAGTCTGCGTCACAGGGCTCTACTCCTCACACAATTCACCCACAGCTCCAACCAGGCAGTGCCAGAGTGGAGACAGGAAAGAAATGAATATGGAGATTTTGAAAGTGGACAATCAAAATCTTTCAAATACACTTCTGCTGTTCATTTACTAAATAGTTATATTTTATTTTTAAAAATGGACTAAAAACGGGGCCAACAAGACAACACAACAGGTAAAGACAGGCAGTTGAGCCCAGTGAGTTCTACTCCCACTATCCACAAAGTAGAGGGAGAGGACCAACTTCCAAAGGTCATATGTGGGCATGTGTCCCCACACTTAATACACTTAACGAAACTTTTAAAAACTAAAAGCAATAACAAACAGAAAGAGGGTGAAAAGTCACTGGAGACCGAAGAACTCTGAATGAAATGATCTGCTATATCTGTGTTTGTTTTAAAATCCTGTGTCAGCCAGTCATCATCAAACCCCCATGCTAAAGAGGAAATCTAAGCAGCCTCAGAAGTAACGGGGGTTTAACCAAGGCCACTGCAAAGCTGGTACCAAGTCAGCCACTCCGAAGGATCGAGTGGCAGAGTGTTTGCTTACATCCTCGAGCTCGAGAATGAGGGCAGAGGTTCTAGCAAGCAGCTTTACGCAGGATTCCTTATGCTGGAAGCATGAAGATGTACTGCAGCTGAACTATCTGCTCCGAGTTACGGATGAACACTGCCGAAATCTTCCTTTGCTCTCTCTGACCATCAGTGCTCTCCCTCAAGACCCACTCCTACCACTTCAGCTGGCTTCTAGCACAGGAAAGGGTATATATAGAATGCACTTCATTTTCCAATGGGAGGGCATCCATTTGTTCTTTACTTCTTTATATAAAAAATGAAAATGGTTTTATACGGAGTCCTTACTTTGTAGCCAGAGAGATGGCTCCGCAGGTAAAGGTTTCTGCTGGCAAATCTTATAACCTGAGTTTGATCCCCAGGACCTACATGGTAGAAGGAAAGAGCAGATTCCTGAGGGTTTACCTCCAAATACAAGTACACACACATACACACACATGCACGTGCACATACAAGTACATGCACAGAGAGAAAGAGAGGGAGGGAGGGAGAGAGAGAAGAGAGAGAGAGAGAGAGAGAGAGAGAGAGAGAGAGAGAGAGAGAGAGAGAGAGAGA